CACGGAGCCGACAGCCACATTTCAAACAAACTTTCGGGCCACGCGTCGAAAATCCTGGCATCAGCAGCGTCCGGGGGCGGAGGAGAGTGCAGTGGTGGCGCGGGCCCGCCTGTGGAGTTTCAACAATTTGATGTTAGTGTTCCCCTCGCCCCCTTCCATACTTCTCATTTCGAAGGCTTTATGTAACTTACTTGGAGAGTCACGTCTCTGTGTCCCTTTCTATAACCCCCCCGCACCCTCCCTAGATCCACCCCCTCTCCCTCCCCCTATCTTCTCAGTTTGACAGTCATATGCACGTACGTGTGTGGTCGGTGCACACAGTGCCCAGTGCACCCCGGCGGCTTAGAGCACTTCTATCTTCACATCGAAGCAGACACTGACTTTGGTTAGCCGTAAAAACAGACTGAGCACCGCTGAGCACTGAGCAAAGAGGTCAATGAAGCAACGGCCGTGACAGCCGATTATGGAAATTTAAAAGTAAGGTTTAGATTTTATCTTCTCCATAAAGAAATTTGGTGTACGCTTTTAATCAGATAAAGGTAGGGACATTTAGGAGTAGGGCTGTATTCCGATTTTGTCAAAATATTTCGAAATATTTCGAAAAGTCTAAGAAAATCAGAAAAACTGAGTAAGGCCCGAATTCCTAGGGGTGGCTGTAAGTGAATCTTCGTGAAATCACAGGCAATTTCTAACAGTGAATTAGACAGTTAAGTCTGATTGATCTCCGAACAACACTTTCCACTGGTGAAGGACCTGTCCCCACACGCACACCCAGCAGAACGTACTTTGCGCTGAAATAGAACGCGGAATGGTCCCTCATTCCGCTGGTATATGGGGTGATACTGGACTTTAGGGGGCGAGGGGAAGTCGAAGTGGGGGGAGAGACAGAGAGGAAAAGGGGGGGGGGCACTGGAAAAACAAAGGTAGGACTCACAGGCTTTTAATGCCATATTACAAAGGCGTTAAAAATTAGCACCCTTAAAACGGCATTAAAAGTGCCAGCAGAGGTGCGAAATTTCAATGCCTTTGGACTCTTCCGTGCATTCACAAAGGCATTAAAATTTAACACCCCTACGGAGGCAAGTGAGTCCTACCTTGTTTTTTCCAGTGCAGCCTGTGGCGACACAGACGCCAGGGGGACGGCGGCCTCACAAAACGAGCCTCACGCACGACACTGCTCTTCCTTAACGAACACTCGACCTCTCCCCGCGAGATGTTCCCCGGGCCGCACGAGGTCGGCCGGACAGCGCCCGCCGGGCATCGGGATAAACTCCACAACGGAAACAAATTGCGGTCCCCAGCGATGATGGCGATACGTGTGAGGGTGAAAAATGGGTGAAACGGGCCGTAAAAGAGAAGCGCTTTGCTGGTGAAAGATTGAAACAGCGCGCGGAGCAGAGTGGTGCCGGCCGCGCGACCAGGGCGCAGTGCCCCGGCCCGGCAGGGCCCGCCGCCGCATCGACGTGATATTCCATATTTCAGCCCCACCGAACACAATTTCGCATTTAGGTCATGGATCACGTTGGCGGCAAGGGGCCGCAAAGGCAAGCCCCTCCTTGGCCCCAAAAGAAATAACGCGAAACCGAAGAGAAAATAAATAAATAAAAACGGTGCACTGTTATCATCAATCCACTTTTGCATGCGAGTGATGGATAGACGGGAAAGAGCGAGAAGTTTGGCTTTGGAAACAGTGCAACAGGAGGAAGCGCGAGAGAAAG